ATATAAATTTGGAGTGGAAAATATTCCATGTCCAAGATTCTAAGATTAAAATTGATGACTTGTTCTTTTCTTCAATTTTTACTACTTATTTTATTTTTGGAGATTGTGGAAAGATTAGTTTTATTTGTAAGTGTTTTAGGGTCTGGTTTTTAAGAAACATATTTTTTTTTTCTTTACTTAAAGGAAAACATGGGTTTAAATGCCCGAGGTATCTCGTGGCCGTTTTTTCAAAACAAATTAAGATATAGGAATTTTTTTTCTTCTTTAGACTTGAGAATTTTTTCCCAAGTTATAATTAAGAAAAGAAGTCAGTTGAAAAAGAAAGTGAAGTTTTGGAATATCTTTGTATACATAAAGTTCAGATGAAACCTTGAATTTAAAGTCGCTTCACAAAAGTTTCATTTCTTTATAATAAAGCGACTTTTATAGTGATATATTATCCAAAAGAATAATATTTTGGAATAACCAATGAATTTAGAGTAATTTTCAATAATGGAAGAGTGTTAAATATTTTCCGACACGAAAATTTTATTGAATAAAGTGGAATATATTAAGGCTCATAAAAAATAACGATAAAGTTTAAACTAGCCTATAAAATTTATCAAAAAAGTTTTAAATAGTCTAGACAAGTTTTTACACTAAGAATCATGAACAAATAATACTTAAAAAATAAATTTTTGATAAAAAATTTTCTTTTATAAAAGTGTCCAAAATAATATTCAGCAAAATATCCTCGGAAAGACTTAAACGCCGGACTTACTCTAAACAAAGAGCTTTATGGCCATATTTATAGTTGTCGTAAAACACTACACAGATTGCTAACCTCGGCCGATACCGCAGTTGCTGCTGCCATTCCTTCTTATTCTTATTCTTCTTCTTATATTCCAGTCTCTTGCCTTTCATTCTCATTCCCAATATGTATTTCTTCGTCTCCATTCATTTTTACCCCGATTTTCTCTCTCTTTCTGTTGCTTCAAAATCTTTTTTTATTGCTTATCATTATTATTTTTATTTTCTCTTAACACACATACTATAAGCATTTATCCTTTTCACTCGAGTCATCTTCTTTTCTGCCTAACCATAATATATCCTTTATATAATCATAATCATCCTCCCTTTCTTGTAACATACATATATACATATATACACCCGATTGTAATTATCAACGCCCCTCAATCGGTAACTCTTATTCTTCTTCTTATTCTCTTCTGGCTTCTTTCTTCTTCTTTATCATCTTCTTCTTATCCTTACTACCAATAAATTTTTTTTCAACATGATAATGATACTTTTATCATATTTTTCGTTTCATTTTTTTGTATTATTTAACATGCCCTTAAATTTTTTTAATAATAACTCTCCATTATAAATGTAAGCAATAAATTTTGCAAATAATCATTCAGTGTGTTAAAGTTATTTTTATCTAATTTACGTTCAAAATTTTTTTTTCGCTTTGCGCTTAAAATTTTTATAAATTATCGATTAATTTCAAGCGGATGTGAATCACTAGGAAACCTAATGGGGTTAACTTTTTACAGACAAATCCACCAGCAGATGTTAAAATCGTCACATTAAAAAGTTACTAAAAAAAATTAACGATAACTTGTTTGAGATCCACTCTTTTATTATTTCATAGAATATATACAACATACATAGATATAAAAAAAATTTTTTTTTTCGTGGTTATATACAACCGTCCAAAAGTGTATCGTTTGAATAAGCACTACCTCAGAGTCTTTAAATAGCTGTATCTTTTAAACTATTGACCTGTCGGTATTTTTTATTCAGAACAAACTTACGGCATAAAATTATCTTAATAATGTGACAATGACAATGTATAGTAAACTTTCGTCAACATTCACACCCCTCAACGCCCCAAAAATATAAATATAAATAATCATCCTTCATTTTCTAATTACCAATAATTGAAAATTTTTATTCAATTAACATTAACAAATCGTTTTAGTGTATTAAATTCCCCGCCTAGCACAAAAATAAACGTTTAATTTATAATTTATTATACATACATGTATTTTTGAGTCGTAACATTGCGTGACGATGTGAATTAAATGACCCACGTGTTGAGCACGTGTTGCCATGGGTCAGGAACCTGATTTCCTGTCAACCATTCACCATTTTCTGATACAACTCTATTCTATAATTAATTATTTCCCTAGCATGTACATACTAGAGTCCGTTACCAAAAAAATACCACAAAAATTAAATCAGCAACGAGAAAAAAAAAAAAAAAAAAAAAAAAAAAAAAAAAAAATCATTGAAGCGAGGGGAAAAAAATATCAGGTGAATTTAAGGAAAAAGATAATCCATCCTGTGTTCCCAAAAAAAAACATTTATGTGTATAATAATGATACATTCATTCACCTACCCTTAGCCTTAGATTCTTGGAAAAATGGTTTACGTATAAATTTTGTTTATAAAGGAAGGTGCAACTCCACAAGGAGCTAAAGTGCGAGATCCGTTGAGAGAATACAACTAAAAAATCCCGAGTATGAGGCCCTTACATCGCGATAGGAATAAGAATGAGAATAAGAATAGGGAGTTGAGTTTAGTTGGTTGAGTAAAAGAACAAGGTAAAGCTAAAGGTAAAGGGACTGTAGTTTGTCTTTCTCTCTCTTCGGCGCTCAGGACCACTGCATCAGCAGGTAGGCTCGTTAGCGAGCAGGTAGAAGTAGAGGTTCTACCTTAACTCCCTAGCACAATCGAGAGTGGTCTCTTGTTCGCTTCGAAGGTATACCGGGTGTCTTAGGACCACCAATATCCATTTACCCATCGGCTATTTTTCCTAAGGTTCATTTCAACTCAAACCTCCTGTCTGCTTTCATTTTTTAAACCATTTGTCACTAAATATATTTATAAATACGAGGGTTCACGCAGAGGAACCTTCTGAGTGATTTCCCAAAGTTTCCAACTAGCTAAATTGTTATCTTCATGGTGAAAAACGGACTTCTTTCATCCGAACATTGATATGTACGGATGAACGGAAATGCCGTAGTTCAAAAACTACGGGGGTTGGTGACTTGGTTTTTTTTTTTTTTATTCTTTATAGGTCTTCAGGATGGAACTGTTGATAAATCTGAGGGAGTGAAAAGTTTTTTCAATGACTACAATAATTATTTTCATGGAAAAAAAAGAGTCATTGATGGTCTTATAAGACCTCTATAGAAGACAAACGTGTTAGAATTAAAAATTTAATTACGAGTTTATGCAAGAATTGAAATAATCTCGCACACCCGTTAAGCAATAAGCGTAGAAAGGAGCCAGAAAAATGAGAAAAAAAAATATATTCGAACAGAGGGAGACAGTAGGCGTTAAAGTGAGCTCTTGAGAGCGAGAGAGATGATCTGATATGGTGTAGCTGTGTTCAGAAAGGTATTCGTAGCAAGTTCATGGTGATGCAGCCTCTTGTTTTCTCTTGGTCTCGGTATAGTAAGTCTTATTATTTTTTATTTCACGAATACTCCCTAAAGTAAGCTTCTTTCTCCATCTTAGCATCCCATCCGCAACACTACTGCCTTTGGTTTTAGTCTTTAATCTCAAGTTTACCATACACTACACCATACACCCTACAATATATGAACATAACACCGTACTGTACAGCTCGGCTCCAGGCGATCTAACATAAACGGCCGCCTACACGCGAACTCGTCAATTACTTCGCACAACGAGATATCATTGGCCTGAGTTGTTAGTTGTTAGCCAGGCTTTACATTACATTTCAGAGCCCAGACGTCTCGTATGTTAAATTTGTATATTTACAGTAAACCCCAAATTATATATTGCATTTTTTCAACATTTTTTTATTTTTTAATAATTGTTATTATAAGCAATAATAATAGTTTTATTTAAAAGTTGAAATCAATTCTGTTGTTACAATTAGGTGTTACAGCTATAGAATTATGTTTCTTGTTGGGAATTTAGTGTAAATATTGACAAAGATAAAATTAGTAGACAATTAGTGAATACTTTCAAATTGGGTCCTTTTGTTATCTTAAAATTTAATGGCAGCTACAAATTATAATATATGGTTCGAGAATTGTTTATCCAGGATTTTGGTATTGCGTTACACATGTGCATGAATACAAATAATAATAATAATAGTAGTAGTAGTAGTAGTAGTAGTAGTAGTAGTAGTACAAGTAAAAAGGTTTTTAAGTAAACAAAAAATACTGAGAAATAAAATAAAAAAGTAATGAATGTATACGGTTGTTATAGAAGTTTCAAATGTCTCGTTTCGGCGAACAACTTTAGACCACCGTCACTCTACTCGGCCATTCCAATCACCGGATTATTAACCACTTGAGTGCCCGCTAGCTGCTGCTTATTCTACTCCTCCTTTTTAGTTGTAAACTTTCATGTATGTGTGTGTCTTTACTAACTAGGCATATATACATACAGCTACGTATTGTAACTAGTTATTAATCTCATTACTTCTTAAAATAGTTTTTTTTTATCGAAATTACTATAAATTTTAATGAAAATTGTTATTTGAAATATTTACGGAAGAATAATTCAATTTCGGGAATGAAGAAATTTTAAGCATCAAAATAACTAAACGAGTATAAATATAAATAGGCGATAAACTGCAGTCGCGGTTGTAAATTAGTCGGTAAGATTAATTTAAAATGCAAGTAATTTCAGGGTTGGTTGACTCTTAAGTAAACTTAAGTATCTAAGTGCATAAATCTAACCCCGAGTACACATTTTGGCAGCATGTGTGACAGTAAATGTTCCAACAATTAGTCAGTTTCACCGAAACAACTTAAATCTGCTCGAAATCTCCATCAAGCGACTTCAAACAATCTCTTTACTACTAATTACAATTACTTTCCGTACAGATCTATGATACTGCTACTAATTATTATTATAAGCACTATTATAGACGATTGTTACTAACAGATTTCTTGTTATTGTAGAAACAAATGAAAATTATTTTTAGAAAATTTTTGAAGAATAATAAACAATAAACCTTCAATTCTCCTATTTCAAGAGGTTTTAATTCCAAGAAATTTCTCAACTTCTTTACAAATAATTTTTTAATAAATTTCTGAAGAAATAACTAAAAATATTTTTCCAATTTTTGGTATTCAATAATCTATCAAGGATAAAAATTTAAATTACTCTATTTTTACTAAATAATTGTTTGGGAAATTCGTAAATTTTTATGAATCTGAAATTAGCTTCATTTTTTGATAATTGTGAATTTTTATTATGAATGTATCACAAAGAGAAAAGTGTTTATTTAAAAGCTTTCTGTTAAATCATAGTGAATCATAGTTAAATCATAGTTATATCATAGTGAAAAAAAATTGAATTGACTCAAAAGAAGAAATATTTAAAATTTTCGAGCTAAGATATTTTATTGAAGCTGAAATCAACAATTTATTAGTTTTATTCAATGAAGAAATTAGAATTACAAAAATGCAGTTTTGTAATTTCAGTCATCTTTTTTAAAATTTTTTTTTAATCTTTTTTATAATTTATTTCTTTTAAAAAATCTTAAAAATTATCAGATGTCTGTTATCTTAGTATTATTAAATTCAACTTTACATCCCGAAAAATCAAATTCTTTAAAATAATTTATTTGATACAACATAACTAAATTTCTACCAAATCCATACCAGAAAAGTCATAAAACTCAATCTAGTAAATTATTTTTTAGTTTTATTTAATAAATAATTCAAATACTACCAAAACATATCTTCAAGGAGGTCCTTTCGCCGCCAACGTAAAATAAAAAATATTAGATTATGAGTAAATTCAATTTTTTTCTAATAGTTAAGGTCCTTATTTATCTAATAGTGAGGTTTAAATTATACTTTACCGGACAAATTTTTGAAAAAATAAAATTTTTAAATGTTAGTATTTGTTCAGAGTCTTACGAGAAAGTCAGACGTTTGCAGTATTTCTCGAATTATACTATCAGTCATGGATTAGATGAAGTAAAAATTTTTTTTTTTTATTTTCAAAATTTCAACGATTAATGCCTCATATACTATTTATTATTTAATTTTAGGAATTTTTATGGGTTTCTTTTTTTAATTTATCGTATATTGACTACTTCAATTGTTTTGACTCAACTGGAGCGAAAGGATTTCCTTAAAGATTGTTTTTAAATTTTTCTTTAATTTTTACCTATTAAATTTACTCAAAAATTTTTTTGGTAACAATTCATGTACTAAAAATTGATAATACTAAAGTTAGCTGACGATTTTAATTTTTTAATTTTTTTCTTAATAATTTTAAATTAGAACAAAAAAATATTTTTAAAAAATTGCACTTACAGTTTTTAAAGTTTTTTACAAGTGAAATTTTTTTAAAATTTTTTTGTAATCATTTTTTCAATAAAAAAAAAATTCTAAAAACTTTAAAATGTCGGCTAACTTAATTTTCATTAAAAATTGTTATATATTTGTTAATTTCAGTACTATAAATTTTTCTTGTTTAAATTATTCTTCTGTTTGAATCAAAAAAGTCAAACTCTTCAAAAACAATTCATCAAGTCCACCATTTCTTGTTTGTAATCAAGTCAATTTTTTATAAAAAATCTACTAAAGTTTAATACCAAATTCCAACCAGAAAAATCAGCTAATTTCACATTTCATAAAATAAGATAAAAAAAAAAATAACTTACCAAAGACCGGACTGAGATCAGACCTCGAGGAGGCCTTACTTGCATATGCAGCTCCCGCAAGCGATCCCTTTTCCTGAAAAACATCCTTTATAACTACAAACTCAAAAACAACAACTCAAAAATATAAAAATACTTGATAATATATCACTCGCACCTCTGATTCGGTGAGATCGATAAGCGAGCTCTTCTCCTCGGTAAGGTTCTCGGAGGACCTCTTCTCGTCCTCGCCCTCATCCTTGAAAACCTTGACCTCGTCCTCACTGCCGAGATCATCTCCGCCGCCGCTGCTGCTCACGTGCGGCATTATTCTGTTAATAACAAACCGCCGACCGTCCGCCGACGGGACCGATCGGGCGTCGTTCCACCAGCTTCTTCTTTTATTTTACCGCACACACTTTTCCACTTTATAATATATATATATATATATATATATATATATATATAAATATTAAATATATAATATATATATTAAATAAATATTTTACAACAATACCTACAAGTATAGCAGTAGAGTGAAGAAAGGGTTAGCAGAAAGTTAAATTTAATTTTTAATAATAATGAATTATTAATTAATATAAATCGTCACTTAACCTAAAAACACTGCACCTTATTTTACAATAGCTATTCCTTAAAACACTTGTTACATAAAAATCAATTCTCTAATAAATATAATTATTACTATTTCTTCATTCTCTTCTAGCGAGGGTGTACAGACTAGGACAATCTGTAGCACAATACTGAAGAAATTTATATTTATCACTGAGAAGAAATGAAAAATTGTACATGACGGTGCTCGAAGAAAACGTAAGTCTATTATTTTATTTAATAATTATTTTTATAAAATAAAAACTACTAATTTTTTTTTTACCGAAAATAAACGGAATTCATATTTCACTCAGATCAGGAGCCAGAAAACACTTGGACTTTTGTTTCTCTTACCCGGTATCGTCGACACCGTTGACACATCACACAGTAACAACAACAACTTTGGATCAGCACTGCGAGAGTTCGTCAGCAACCCGCGGTATGCCATACTGCCAATTGCGCGGCAATATATCTTCTTTATTTCAATAATTTTTTTTTCAAATAAAAAAACTAATTCTTAGAATAATAACAAAAATTTCTTCTCAAAAAATTCAAACTTCAGTTACATGGTAAGTATTTTTTGAAGTTGTTATTATTATTATTATTATTTTTAATTTAACTAATTTTATGTTTCTTCTTTCAGATTTAAAAAAGCGCCGAGCAGTTGAAAAATTATTATTATTTTATTATTGTTTATATTTTATAATAAATATAATTTTCCCCTTTATAAAATATATATATATATATATATATATATATATATAAATATTAAATATATAATATATATATTAAATAAATATTTTACAACAATACCTACAAGTATAGCAGTAGAGTGAAGAAAGGGTTAGCAGAAAGTTAAATTTAATTTTTAATAATAATGAATTATTAATTAATATAAATCGTCACTTAACCTAAAAACACTGCACCTTATTTTACAATAGCTATTCCTTAAAACACTTGTTACATAAAAATCAATTCTCTAATAAATATAATTATTACTATTTCTTCATTCTCTTCTAGCGAGGGTGTACAGACTAGGACAATCTGTAGCACAATACTGAAGAAATTTATATTTATCACTGAGAAGAAATGAAAAATTGTACATGACGGTGCTCGAAGAAAACGTAAGTCTATTATTTTATTTAATAATTATTTTTATAAAATAAAAACTACTAATTTTTTTTTTACCGAAAATAAACGGAATTCATATTTCACTCAGATCAGGAGCCAGAAAACACTTGGACTTTTGTTTCTCTTACCCGGTATCGTCGACACCGTTGACACATCACACAGTAACAACAACAACTTTGGATCAGCACTGCGAGAGTTCGTCAGCAACCCGCGGTATGCCATACTGCCAATTGCGCGGCAATATATCTTCTTTATTTCAATAATTTTTTTTTCAAATAAAAAAACTAATTCTTAGAATAATAACAAAAATTTCTTCTCAAAAAATTCAAACTTCAGTTACATGGTAAGTATTTTTTGAAGTTGTTATTATTATTATTATTATTTTTAATTTAACTAATTTTATGTTTCTTCTTTCAGATTTAAAAAAGCGCCGAGCAGTTGAAAAATTATTATTATTTTATTATTGTTTATATTTTATAATAAATATAAAATAACAACGCTCGCGGTGCGCTCGACCTGGATGCTCGGTGCTGACTGCCGGCCGGATAGCTCTGCCACGGGCGGGCGGCTCTCCCACGCGTGGACCAATCACGACGACGGATTCGCTGCGCGGCTTCCCTCCGCGCCGAGTATACAAAAGAGAAGAAACTGAACCTCGGAACGCGGAGAGTAAGAGAGAGAAGCTAATAGTCAGTAGTGCCAGCCATGAGCATTGCCAGCCGGTTGAACCGAAGATCCACGAGCTGTTACGGAAACCCGCGAACTTCAAGCGGTATGTATTTATGTGTATAAATAATAAATATATCTGTGTTTGTAATATATGTGTGTGCGCTCTTGTAGATATGTTATATGTTATGTGTTATATGAGACCGTCATATGTAGTCATTGCACCGTCATATGACGTTACGAGAAATGAGTAGTCTATTTAACTCTACTCGGGAATTTTATTTGCTGTTTGGACGATCAACGACCACCCAGTAGTCTGAGATTTACAATTATTCGAGATAGATTTTACTTTGGAAATCGAAATGGGAAGTGCTTGGTTTTTGGAAGTGAGGTTGGATGCAAGTATTCTAAAATTTTTGTAGCAATAAAGAATTTTTTTTTTAATTTGAGTAATTAAATGGAAGTAGCAGATATCTGACAGTTTTATGACATTAAAGTTAACAGTCACTTAACAATTTTTTAATTTTATTTATCAAATAGATTTTTTCAAAAAAATTATTGAAAAAAATTGGATTTTTTATTTTTTTAAATTTTTACATGCCAATTTTTTTTTATACTTTTTTTTTGCCATAATTTTTTTGTTAAAAAAATTCATAAATTAACAAATATCTGCTAAATTAAGTTTTAAGACAGTTTTTAGGATTTTTCTTATTGACAAAATTATTACAGAAAAATTGAAATAAAAATTTTACATCTTGAAGGTTTAAAAAACTACAAGTGCAATTTTTTAAAGATATTTTTTTAGTTATAATTTAATTAATGAAAAAAATTAAAAAATTGTGGAACGCTTGCGGATTTCAATATAATTTGAAATGAAAATTAAGTTAGCCGACATCTGAAAATTTTAAGAATTTTTTTTCATTGAAAAAATTATTACAAAAAAATTAAAAAAAAATTTCGTTTGTAAGAAACTTGAAAAACTTCAAGTGCAATTTTTTAATAATATTTTTTTGTTGTAATTTAATTATTGAAAAAAAATCAACAAACTAAAAATGTCACCTAACTTTAATATTAATTTGAAGTATGTATTGTTGTTTGTGACATTAAAATTAACAGTATAGATTTTTTAGGTTTTTTTTTTTAACAAATGAATGAAGAATATTTTTAAAGTTAAAGTTTGAGAAACTGAAAAAAATTATTATAATTTTTTTAATGATATTTTCATTGTAGTAATTATTTATTTAAAAAAAATAAATAATTATAAGATATCTTAATTATTATAAAAAGTTAATAAACATATATTTATTAACTTCAATTAATTAAAAAAAATGACAGATATTTTATAATTTGGGTTTTTCTCAATAAATAAATAAAGAAAGAATTAGATTTGAAAAAACTTTATTTTATAAATTTTTAAAAACTATTGATATTAATTCCTGTTTCATATTTTCTTTGTAGTCGAAAAAGAACCCAATAATTACAAAGCGTGTATTAACCTCAATTCATTTCTAAAATAATGAAAATTTTTTTTAAACTAATAAAAAAAAGAAAAAATCTTAGGTAAGGTTTTTTTTTAGAATTTAAAAAAAGGATCGATGAGACTTCATTTAAAAATATACATCCTTGCACTGAAAAAAAAACATTCTTGACTGGAGGGTAAATTTTCTTGGCTTAAAAAAATATTAAGGAAGATTGAAAATTTCTTGAATGAAGTCAAAGTTTTTTGAGCCAAGAAAATTTCTTCTTTCTACAAAATAACTTTTGTCTTCCTTAAAATTTTCTTGGTGTAAGAAGTTTTTTTTTCTGTGTTATAATAATTGATTCATTTAAAAGAAGCACAAAATATACAGAATATTTCTACGAGAAAGAGAAAATTCTTCGTTAAGTCTTCTGAAAAAGTTATATTCGATTTGATTAAATACTGTTTTTCGTGGATTAATTTCAGTATCATTTCTTGATAATAACGATGGATTATGAAGAAAACTTGACGAAAATCAGACTATCAGAAACTTAAAATTATTATTGTTATATATTTTTCTTAATACTTTAATTAATTTAAAGCTTTAATTAATTAATTAGAATTTATTTGATTTATTTAATTCTGGTTTAAATAGAATCGAACGATTAAGAAAAAAAAATTTATTGCTCTGCCAAAATTATTAACTATTTATAAATATCTGTATTAAGTGACCCCGTCGTTGGTCTATGGCTGTTGAGTCTTAATAGAGGAAAATAAATTAATACTGATCTAGTAATAATTTATTTGATAAAAGCAAATATCTATTAGATATCTGTTAATCTAAATTGATTTTTTAATACTCCTGAAAATGATACACATTTTATCATTTTTAGATTTTTAACTAAATATATTGTTAAGATAAAAGACCCAGTTATTGAAACTGGCCTTGTTATTGACACTTGCAATTTTATTTTAATTAAAAAAAAAATCAACTCTAATAAATTAATAAATATAATTTTTGAGTTATAAATTCTACACAGTAAAAAATTTTTTGTCATTCCGTAAAGTGTAAAAATTTTGTGTGTAGAGTATTACACTCTTAGTGTATAGAATTTTACATTCTAGTGTGTTAAATCAACACATGAGAATGTTAAATTCTACACACTAGAGTGTAATATTCTACACACAAATTTTTACACTTAACACAATAACGAAAAATTTTTTACAGTGTAAGATGATTGGTTTTTTGAGAATAATTTATTTTTTTAATTAGAATAAAATTGCAAGTGTCAAACAGATAGTCCAGTGTCAAGAACTGGATCTTTTACCTTATAAAGAATTATTATTAAAAAATTCTACTCATGAAAATTTAATAGAGTATGGATGCTATGTTTTTTTTTTTTTTTTTTACTTACTAATTAACTAAAAGTCAGAGATATATTGAAGAATTAATCGATTACTTT